CCGGCAGCCCCCCCCCCCCTTCCGGGTAGTTGACGTCCGTCAACGCCGTCACATACCGGGTAGTTGCCGTCCGTCTCGAACCAGGTGAAGAGAACGACGCCGACCAGCGCCAGCGCCAGACCCGGCAGCAGGCGGTACAGCAGCCAGGGCAGCGGCGGGCGCAGCAGCCGGCCGGCGCGGTAACACCGCAGGGAGTACACCCCCAGCTGAGGGCGGCGGGTCAGGTCAGGTAAGGTCACAGCGCAGGGAGTACACCCCCAGCTGAGGGCGGCGGGTCAGGTCAGGTAAGGTCACAGCGCAGGGAGTACACCCCCATCTGAGGGCGGCGGGTCAGGTCAGGTAAGGTCACAGCGCAGGGAGTACACCCCCAACTGAGGGCGGCGGTCAGGTCAGGTCAGGTCACAGCACAGGGGGTACACCCCCAGCTGAGGGCGGCGGGTCAGGTCAGGTAAGGTCACAGCGCAGGGAGTACACCCCCAGCTGAGGGTGGCGGGTCAGGTCAGGTCAGGTCACAGCGCAGGGAGTACACCCCCAGCTGAGGGCGGCGGGTCGGGTCAGGTAAGGTCACAGCGCAGGGAGTACACCCCCAGCTGAGGGCGGCGGGTCAGGTCAGGTAAGGTCACAGCGCAGGGACAAGACGCCCAGCTGAGGGCGGCGGGTCAGGTCAGGTAAGGTCACAGCGCAGGGACAAGACGCCCAGCTGAGGGCGGCGGGTCAGGTCAGGTAAGGTCACACCGCAGGGAGTACACCCCCAGCTGAGGGCGGCGGGTCAGGTCAGGTAAGGTCACACCGCAGGGAGTACACCCCCAGCTGAGGGCGGCGGGTCAGGTCAGGTAAGGTCACAGCACAGGGAGTATACCCCCAGCTGAGGGCGGCGGGTCAGGTCAGGTAAGGTCACAGCGCAGGGAGCATACCCCAGCTTAGGGCGGCGGGTCAGGTCAGGTAAGGTCACACCGCAGGGAGTATACCCCCAGCTGAGGGCGGCGGGTCAGGTCAGGTAAGGTCACAGCGCAGGAACACGACGCCCAGCTTTGAGACGGGACGGTCATGTCAAATCTAAGTGAATGCAGGGAGCTGTCTGTTGACGGCCCCCGTGGCTCTGCACATGGTGACCATACGGCAAAGCACGGACCGACGTCGCGTGACGCGAAAATCAATGCGCCCTCGAGCCCCCCGCATTAACCCCATTGCTGTGCGGCTCTCGGGAACCTGGATTCGTGCGAGGCGCTGCCAGCCTCCCCCATCCAGACCATCATGACCTGACAATGCAATCGACAGATCTTCATGCAAACGCTCTCCTGTTCTGGTATACTAATCCGACACAAAACACGCGAGGATGGCGGCAGCAAGCAAATAATGGTCGGCAAGTTCGCGTGGGGCAGCAAAAGCAACATATCATGTGTCTAATCATATCTACAAGTGATGCGCAGATCGGATGCAAATCAATGGAAAGCGGCCACGACTTTATGACAAACATTTTTTTATGACCAGCGTTTAAAAACGTCCAAACTACAAATTGTAAGCTACATATCATTTGTCTTAAGCACCTCAACATGTTTATACTTGGAGAAAAGAGTGATGCACGATTTGTCTGAAAACACTTATGCCCTTCGACAAAGAACATAGATGCAAAAAGTGACCGTTTTTTATCCATCTCGTGCGACAAACTTGTCGCAATGGGCCACGGCTGTGTTGGATCCCCTTTTGTCCACTGAGATCACTAGTGGGTATCACCATGCATCCCATTAACGGACACATCGAGCATGTCATACGCCCTCATGCTAAGTACCAAGCGATCTATTTCATGCTGACCGCCGGCTCCCACAAGCACATCCCTTCAATGTGTATTAATCTCAAGGGCTCACTGACTGCACAAGTGTTACACCTTTGTGTAGTGTAACTTTGTAAGTGTAACACCTTTGAGTCATTAAAAAAAGCCTGTCAAGCTACAGCGGGCCAATCTGATGGGTTTCCAGCATTACCGTGGCCCCCAAAACCTCATTGCTGAACTTCTCGCAGTGAAAAACCTGCAGCCCTATCGTACGAAACCATCGGGCAGCTGTGCTCGGCAATGTGATGTCCGGCGCAGGGGACCGGTTTCGTCCGACAGGGACGGTCCCGTCGCCGAGTACGCACCACCAGTGCGGCAGAACAGAGCAGCTGAACAGGCTCAACGGCCTGCGGATCACCGCCACGCTTCCGCATCGTACGCTCTCCGCCCGCCGAGCCGCACCACGCGGCGGAGTGTCACGGGCCGCCGCTGCGGCGACGTAATCCGGGGCTCACATGCCACACACGTGGGCTCAACCGACCCCCGTCCCGGCGGTGGCGGGGTGCGTAAAACCCGGCAGTCATGGCCGCCGAGCAACGCCACCGCAACGCTGATCCGGACTGGAGACGGCGGCGGCGGCGGCGGCGGCGGCGATGGTCGCTCCGATAGCCCGCCTTCATGGAAACACGCCGCCCGCCCGCCGGGTCACTGGCCCCACCGTCGCTCTGTCGTGCGACCGCCGCCGGCCGGCCGGGGCACATAATCCGCGCCGCCGACAGATCCGGGCCGGGCCGGCCGGCACCGCCGGCCGTGAACCACGCTTCCACCACGGGCCGGGTCGGCGAGGCCCGATGGGCTGCCAGCGGGGTTGATGACCACGAGGCGGCCGCCTGTCGGGTTAGATCACCCCCGGTACCAGTGCAACGGGTTAAGCCCGCTGGCCAATGTGGTGGTGCTGCCAGCCGTGTCAGTGACACCGGATGACATCAAATGTAGACCTGTGATGTCTGCTGCTGTCAGCCGTGTTAGTGACCCCAGATGACACCATGTGTGGACCTGTGATATCTGCTGCTGTCAACCGTGTTAGTGACCCCGGATGACACCAAGTGTGGACCTGTGATATCTGCTGCTGCCAGCCGCGTTAGTGGCCCCGGATGACACCATGTGTGGACCTGCGATATCTGCTGCCGTCAGCCGCGTTAATGACCCCGGATGACACCATGTGTGGACCTGTGATATCTGCTGCTGCCAGCCGCGTTAATGACCCCGGATGACACCATGTGTGGACCTGTGATATCTGTTGCTATCAGCCGCGTTAGTGACCCCGGATGACACCATACGTGGACCTGTGATATCTCTGTGAGTTAAACTTAACGCACCTACCAAACGCATTAAATGACCACGAAACCCCCCGGCGGCCGATTATGGTGGCAGTAGCAACATAACCAGCTGTTTGGGCGTCTCCTGATACCACCACCAGCCCATCAGATGGGGCCTGCCACCCTCAATGGCCATACCAGCGACGCCGACATGACTTGCAGCCGTGTCAGTGACACCTGACACCACAATCGGCCGTGTCACCGGCCCACCACACCCCCAGATCGTGTCACAGTCAAAACAACCCCACCGTCGATCACCGCGCGCCGCTGGCTGACCCACAGCGCGCCGTTTGGCCCACTGCGGACGGCGGCGGCCCACCGTGCGCCACTCACCGGCACCGCGGCGGCGAGCAGGGCCGGTCCGACGAACACCCAGAGCGCGGTGGGCCGCACGCGCACGGCGGCAGCCCACCGTGCGCCACTCACCGGCACCGCGGCGGCGAGCAGGGCCGGTCCGACGAACACCCAGAGCGCGGTGGGCCGCACGCGCACGGCGGCGGCCCACCGTGCGCCACTCACCGGCACCGCGGCGGCAAGCAGGGCCGGTCCGACGAACACCCAGAGCGCGGTGGGCCGCACGCGCACGGCGGCGGCCACGGCCAGCGCGCACAGCATGTGCAGCGGCGCCTCGGCCCGGCCGCCCAGACTGATGAGCGTCACCCAGCAGCTCAGGATCGATGAGAAGAAGTCGCAGAACTGCAACGCCTGCCGGGCGCCGACGGCAGCTATGGTGAGTGGAGTCTGTGGCTCTGATACGCTAGACGACACACACGGCCGGCTTGTGCGGGGACCCCCTGATGGCGGCGGGGTGCGTGATCTTGCCGGCAGATACACCAGCGGGTGGAGCAGTCGGGTCATCTCCTGTTTTACATCATCAGCACCGCCACACCCTGGGGAAGGTCTCCTAACCACGACCAGGCGCTACGAGAACGGGCCCAGTACCAGCCAGCGCTGCGCAGCCATTCAAAAACTAACTAGCGCCGTGAGTGCTGTGATCAACGTAATATCGCGGTTCATATCCTGTGAATCGCGGTGGGGCCCCACACGGGACACCCATGCTCCACAGACGTCAGACTTATTCCGAAACCAAGAGCAAATGTCCGTGGTCTAACCACCGGCTAAAACAATAGCATGCGCTGATATCACCACGGTACCACAAAGCAATCAGACGGTCGTCACGTTTTCGTTGCGCGGACCGAAAGGGAAAGTTGGCTTCGAAAGCCATCAACAGTCCCCTCTGCTCAATTGCCAATAACCATCAGCCAGTCTGGAAGGCACCTGCCTCACCTCGAACGGGAGCAGGCAGTACTGAGAGCCGGGGACCTGCTCGCCCAGCTGGTCGCACACGTGGTACAACATGGAGAAGATCATGGCGGCCGCGCAGACCAGCGCCAGTGTGAAGAGGCGGCGGCGACAGGCGAGGCCGACGGCAGGCAGCAGGCACAGGTTGCTGAGCGTCAGCAGGCAGACGGCCAGCAGGCGGCGGGAGGCGGGCACAGCGTGCGAGGCGTCACTGCAGTCCCAGCCACGGTAACCTGGGGACAGAGCTGTCACTGCAACACCAGCCGCGGTGACCTGGAGACGGGAGTCGTCACTGCAGTCCCAGCCACGGTAACCTGGGACAGAAGCTGTCACTGCAACACCAGCCGCGGTGGCCTGGAGACGGGAGTTGTCACTGCAGTCCCAGCTACGGTAACCTGGGGACAGAAGCTGTCACTGCAACACCAGTCGCGGTGACCTCGAGACGGGAGTCGTCACTGCAGTCCCAGCTACGGTAACCTGGGGACAGAGCTGTCACTGCAACACCAGTCGCGGTGACCTCGAGACGGGAGTCGTCACTGCAGTCCCAGCTACGGTAACCTGGGGACAGAAGCTGTCACTGCAACACCAGCCGCGGTGACCTCGAGACGGGAGTCGTCACTGCAGTCCCAGCTACGGTAACCTGGGGACAGAGCTGTCACTGCAACACCAGCCGCGGTGACCTCGAGACGTGAGTCGCCACTGCAGTCCCAGCCGCGGTAGCCTGGGGGCAGAGCTGTCACTGCAACACCAGTCGCGGTGACCTGGAGACGGGGGTCGTCACTGCAGTCCCAGCAGCGTTTATCGGCCAGCCTGTCACTGCGCCTCCATTTTTCATAAACCACAGTAAATGAAGTCTCTTTCACAGTAACCTGCGCCTTTTAGTGTCAGCGGGTTCGCAAAATACACTTTCAACTTGCAAGCATATACAGATACACTACTTCCTATTATTTTCACATAACTTAAGCCCATGTGACTCTTCATCGGGGCTAAACGGACCTAAAGGCGGCGTCAACAGTGTTAGGACCACAGGACGGAGGGGGGGGGGGGGCGCGTACCGGCCCGGCAGCTGCAGGATGTGAAGTAGTGCTGGCCGCGGTGGGTCTCGCGGCAGGTGCCGTGCCGGCCGCAGGGCGCGTCCGGCCACACACACGGCTGCGTGTGCACGTCCAGGTTCACTAGGTACTTGGAGCGGACGCAGGGAAGCGTGGCGCCCGACCTGAAGACGGCACGGTGGTCAGGTGACGTGACGAAGCTGTATTATACCAAGACGGCGCAGCACAGGCAACACCACGGAGGATATAATACCGACAGCACGGCGCAGAGAACACGGCACAGAGGGCACAATGCAGAGAACAGGCACAGAGAACAAAGCGCAGAGAATAGGCACAGAGGGCACGGTATACAGAACACGGCACATAGGGCATGACACACATGACACAGCACAGAGGACATGGTGCAGAGGTCACAGCACAGAGAGCATGGCACAGAGGACACCGTGCACAGGAGACGGAACATGGAACAAGACGCAGGGAAAACGGTGACGACAGTAAGTTACAGAGAACGCAACAAGCCCTAATCACGCGGCTGAGGATACAGCGCCGTAAAAATGGTGACGAGAATAAACTACAGAGAACAAGGCATGGATGAGAGCAAGTTACAGAGAACATGTAGCTGGCGGCACGGTGACGAAAATACAAGATTACGATAACGGGAGCATGACAACGACAACGTGGTAGAGAAAACACGCTACTGGGAAGACAGCACAAGAAGACGAAATGTACAGAACTGCACAGACGGGACACCGGATTAGAGACACCATAGGCTATAGGTCATTTTAGCAACAAAAAAAGAAAGAAAAAAGAAAACAAAACAAAACGGTTCCAATAATATTAGAACGCAGAATATCATCCAATAAGCTTTAAAACTGTCTCATGCGCGGCGTGTCAAGAGGCGACCAACGCCCAGAATCAACGGTGAAAAAAGGCATTCACCACAAACGGGGCTGTGTGGAAGCCACCGAGTACCGAACACTGTAGTCCCATTCCCGCACATGGCGATGACACGAAACGCGCCACTCGCAAGTTAAACGGCGATGTGATCAAAACTAAAACACAATGCTCGATGCCCGTGATGAGCGCCTGATTTAAACGGCTCCCTAATCTGAGCGGCATCTATTTGATGCTCCCCGAGGTGAACGGCTAACCGCCAAGAAGGGCTAGCAGACGTCAACTGCGTAGAAGGGAGCATAAATACACACAGATGGAGAACCCGCCGGCGACAATATGGTGGTAGATGTCATGCAAATTTTAGCGCTTGTTCAGGTCAGGGTCATCTTCAGCTGGTTTTAAAAGCAGCACAAGAATAGGCAAACTTGTTTATCGCCTATGTGCTACATGCTACGGTGCAATAATGTTCGCATTTTATTCCCTCAGACCGTTTTCGACCACCAGCCTCTGAACGTTGCCCATCACCCGTCACCGAGCCAAGGCTGTCACTGGAAAGGAGCTGTAGTCGGTCAGTTGCCGGGCGTATACATATACATTGTGCCGGGCGGGTACAACTTCTGCTTTTCGCAGAAGTTGTACCCGATGCCCCTGTTATAGCTCAACAGCCCGACCCCGTCGTATCAGCCGGCGATGGCAAATTAGAGCCTGCATCAAGGTCACACGCCATGGCGACGACGGGATGCAGCGAGTACTGACTGGCCATCTAGTAGACTACATAGAAAGTATGTCTGTCAATGAGGCACACATCAGGTGCATCCCCTCCCGTCAAAAAAAAAAAAAATAATGCAGACGACATAAAAGCCCGGCCCGCTCGGGATAGTGATTTTCTGCGTGAGTAACCATCAGTTTGTCAAAGTGGGTCTGTTTTACCAAACTGTCAGCCATACCACGACACGAATGGAGGCCGCTCGAGGCTGTGCCTTTCCCGACATCATATCACCAGCGAGCAATGAACTCGTCCCGTGTCAGAAACGTATAACCAAGACAAGTAAAAAACCACAGGTCGAGGCCACGCCGCCGGATAAGTACAAGTGGTAATTATGGCAACCTCAACGGTGGCGTACTCACTCCGACACGTTTCTGCCTTGCTTGATCGCGAGGATGCCGCCGCGCCGGCATGTTTCCCACCATCGCGACGCATCCTTTACCGCCGCGCCGGCGCGTCTCTCACCGTCGCGACGCATCTCTCACCGCCGCGTCGACGCATCTCTCACCGTCACGACGCATCCCTCACCGCCGCGCCGGCGCGTCTCTCACCGTCGCGACGCATCTCTCACCGCCGCGACGTATCTCTCACCGCCGCGTCTCTCACCGTCGCGACGTATCTCTGACCGCCGCGTCTCTCACCGTCGCGCCGACGCATCTCTCACCGCCGCGTCTCTCACCGCCGCGACGTATCTCTCACCGCCGCGTCTCTCACCGTCGCGACGTATCTCTCGCCGCCGCGCCGGCGCGTCCCTCACCGTCGCGAGCTGCAGCGGGTGACCATGCTGATGTACCAGACGGCCGGCTCTGGGAAGGGCAGCAGGCGGATGGCGCGCGTCTCGGCCTCGGATGCCGAGCTGAGTCGGAAGGCCAGTGGCGGCTCGCAGCGGAGCCGGCCGGCCGCCGAGACGGGCAGCACGTGCGCCGAGAGGCAGCACTCCACTGTCACCACCTGGGCAGAGTCGTTCTGGGGACGAGCCAGGCGGGGTGGTCAAGGTGGGAGGCAGCACTCCACCTTCACCACCTGGGCAGAGTCGATCTGGGGACGGGCCAGGCAGCCTGGTCAGGGCACGAGGGAGCAATTATACCAGAGCAGAACGGCTCGCCCGAGGCTGGACAGGGTCATGACGCATTGAGCTGCGCCAGCTGTTTAGGGAAATTCACGGCCCCTCGCACCGCTGCGAAGCATATGCTGAACACGTTTGATACTAACACGAGGCATATGCTCAACATGTCTGATACTAACACCAAGCATATGCTGAACATGCCTGATACGTGTTCAACACATGCTTGGTGCTGCATATGTTGCATATGCCTCCCACCAAGCATATGCTGAACACGTTTGATACTAACACCAAGCACATACTGAATATGTCTGATACCAACACGAAACTGAAAGCGTGAGGATAGGCTTAACGCCGTGGGCGGGAAGCGTAGCAATGGCGAGCTGGTGAAGATTGGACAGCGACTGACCGCTTGCCAGTGCGGCGGGGTGCCCTCACCGTCAGCAGCTTGTTGAGCTGCAGGTCCACATACAGGGTGCCACCCACGTCGACAAACTCTCGCGTCTCGAACCGCACCGAGTGCGGCCGGCGGTCGGTCAGGTGCACCCACGTGTAGTAGAAGGCCGCGTTCTGCGGCCCAGCGAGCCGGGTCAGGGCGTCACGTGCACCCACGTTTCGTTCAGAAAGCCGCGTTTTGCAGCCGAGCGCGCCGGGTCAGGGCGTCAGGTGCACTCGCGTTCGGGGGAGACACGTGCTCTGAAGACACGCTGAGGGCTTCTGAAAACACTCATTGCGCTCGACTGGCTGCATCGGTACATCGAACGAAAACATACGACGGTCAGACGGCTTAGAGCCAAACAGTGTGTTTGGTGCTCAGTTGCAGTGACGGATTTAACATTACTGCAAACAATAAGCGGTATTGGTGATCTTAAAACGCTATGACATGGTGTTGATGATGATGGCGTTGATGATGATGCTGGTGATGATGATGATGATGTTGCGGCGCGTTCACCACACTGGCCGTTTTGCGCCCAGCTTCATCAACTTCGACCACTCTGATGTAGCTGATGTCAATTTCGAGTCACCATCCATTTTTCTGGCTCGCTCCTTATAATAGAATAGCGCTTAAACGGGACACACTGCCGTAAGTTGGCCTTAAAAAGGAGCCAGCCGGCGCCAGCCCCTCCAACCCTTTACAAGTCCACGTTCCACGCGGAGCTCGATCCACCGGTCCACCATCAGGGCGGGCGGTCCGCCAACGCGCGCTTACCACAGCCAGGAAGGTGTCGGTGAAGTCCTGCGCGTACTTGATGCGTGTCAGCTCCGTAAGCGGCCAGCAGCGCGGTGACGTCGGCCGCGCTACGGAGCCGTTCGTCTGCCGTCCACCGCTGACGTCAGCCGTGACGTCAGCAGTCGGCGGCCGGCCCTCGGAGGCGACGAACTCGCAGTCTGTGGTGGGCAGGAACACAGGATCAGCGCCACGACGAGGGTGCACTGAGCTCGAACGTGAGGAGGTTATCAGACTCGGACAGGTAGCACAGCTACGAGGTCATCGGACCCGGACAGACAGTACGGCCGAGAAGAGGCCATCGGACCCGGCCAGACAGCACAGCCGTGAGAAGGCCATCGGACTCGAACAGACAGCACGGCCACAATGCCACCGGACCCGGACAGGCAGCACGGCCGTGAGGAGGCCATCGGACCCAGACAGACAGCACGGCTGTGAGAAGACCATCGGACCCAGACAGGCAGCACGGCGACTTCAACCATCAGCGATATTACTGCCTTTGGGATGAGAGCAGGGAGCTGTCCTCATTTCTCCAATGGCATGCGCTTTCAAGTACAGTGAGGGTTGAAATAAGGGACATTTCAAGAATTCACGAGCCGCATAGTCATAAGAACAGGCACCGATGACAACTGTATGGCAATGTTTTAACGAGCATTTCCCGCACAGCACGAGGACTTGACAAGACACTCAAACATTTTTTGACTTACTTTGTAGTTAGGTGTCATGTTGACCAATGCCACATCAGGCCCACAATAACGACCAAATTAAGGACGGAAATATCGTTCGGGCTATTGTCCTCGTCTGATGTGCATTACTAGTAGGTCGTCTCAATCCGTCCCTTTAACTACCAACAACCGCACAATCGCCGGCAATCGATGTTCCCTCTCCTTTGCCTGCCTTCCGGCACAGTCACTATCACACACTACCTGGCCGTGCACCTGTCTGACCCTGACAAAGTCCTGTGTGCCCACGCACAGCAGTAGTTCACCTACGACTCGAATGGTGGCTCTTAGGTTTACTGCACCTCGCCAGCACAGGACGAGGTGGGGGTATGATTCCACTGCCGGTTCCACAATCTATGTGTTCGATAAAAAATAGGCAGCAGTTCCGTACGTGATTTACAGTTCTTCTCTCGGTACCTTTACGGCACCTCCTACGGTTGGCCGATCCAGATAGGTCAAACAAATTTTTGCCGTCTGTACGTGGCCTCTAATATAGCGGCGAAGTCAAGATGACAACTAAGCGTGCGCTATTCCCTTCTAAGCATAGCATGAGGCCATCTGACAACATTATGCGACCTTTCATGATCTTGACCTTGGATGACCTTACCCTGATATTTAGAGGCAATGATATAGCCGCATGCTTCAGCGGGGAACACCATCGCGCGCTGACAGCGCGGGGCCCTGCGGCGTTCAACTGGGCGAATAACCGCACCAAGTGTGCCTAACAAACTAACTGTCGTCTTCCTCATCGGCGTGAACAACGATATATGCCAAAACATGCTCCTGCATTTGGCAGAACACGGGTTTCCCGAGAATTTCCCTCGGCTGGACCCGAACCCGAGACCCACGTGTCAGGGTGACGGTGAGGTTGACGACGGCGTTGCTCTCGGCCACCACGGCCAGGTGGTAGTAGGCGTCGAGCCACAGCTGGTCCGGCTCCAGCCGGTACGTGCGGCCCTCGCGGACCCCGCTGATGTTCAGCTGGCCCACGGGCGCGTCCTCTGGCGAGGCGGCGTCCTCTGAGGACGCGGGTGGCGGTCACGACACCGCCCGGTCCAGCGAGGACCCTCGCAACGACACAGATAGCGGTCAGACAGCCGCAGGTCGCCACGCCACACGATCCATAAGCGAGAGCTTCTCAGAAGACAAAGGCAACAGTCGGGACATCAAGCTTTCATGTGGGTACTCCTCTCCTGAGGATGCAGGCTGCGGCCGGACAATGGAAAGCCAGCTAAGTCGAGACCCCCTCACGATACAGGCAACAGTCAGGCCATGGCACGGCTCGGCGATTTGGGCGCACCCGAGGGTCCTCAGCGAGCAGCAGAGGTATGGCAAGTGGCGATCACGTGGTAGTGAGTGACAGTACAGACGGCGTACGTGATGGCGCGCTGGTTGGAAGGGCGCGCGGCCCGCAGCGCCAGCCAGCTGATGCAGGGGTGCACGTCATCCTCGGGCGGCGCGCCGGGCTCCACCACGCGGCAGCCTGACACCCGCACCGACACCGACTCCGTGTCCGACGGCACGTGGAATCTGCCGGCGCAGACACGGTATCAAGACCAGCGCACACAGCCACGGACAGTCATGACGTGTGCTGACATGGACAGTGTCAGACACGGAGTGTCGGACATGGACAGCGTCAGACACGGAGTGTCGGACATGGACAGCATCAGACATGGACAGCGTCAGACACGGACAGCGTCAGATACGGACAGTCAGACATGGACAATGTCAGACACGGAGTGTCAGACATGGACAGTGTCAGACATGGGCAGAGTCAGACACGGACAGTCAGGCACGGACAGCGTCAGACATGGACAGCGCCAGACACGGACAGCGTCAAATGCAGACAGTCAGACATGGACAATGTCAGACACGGAGTGTCGGACATGGACAGCGTATGACACGGACAGTGTCAGACGTGGACGGTGTTAGACATGGGCAGTGTCGGACATGGACAGCGTCAGACATGAGAAGTGTCAGACACGGAGTGTCAGACATGGACAGCGTCAGACATGGACGGTGTCAGACACGAAGTGTCGGACATGGACAACGTCAGACACGGACAGTCAGGTACGGGCAGTGTCAGACATGGCCTGTGTCAGACATGGACAGCGTCAGATATGGGCAGTGTAGACACGGCTGATCACGGCCGGCACACAAGCATGGAAGTTCACACGATCTGGTGCGACGGACACGGGTTCACGAAGGAGTGCATGGTAGCCGGGACGGACAGAAAGACTACCTGTGCACTCACGGTCACAGGGACACCAGTGGCCACCCACACAGGCATACACGGCCCCAGTCTAATGTTGATAAGCAGCTGTGGGGGAAGGGGGGGGGGGGGGCGCAGCAAGCTGCACATCAAGCCAGGATCGTAATGGAACGAGTCGTACAGCGCATGACCGATGAACAGAGCAAGCACCAGATGAGATGTGGCGGAAGCCTGAAACAAGTGGCAGTGCTGATACAGCAATGTACCGGGCCATGCGGCACGTGCCACATCGTTTAGAGCGCGCGGGTGCACGTATCCCACCCCGAGAGCAGCAGCAACAGGCTAATGGACACGTGACATTCGCCGTGGCGAGAGCGCCCGCCCGAGCCGGCGAGCACTGCCTCGGGGCAGGGCTTCGGCTCACTGACTTGAAGTAGGATGTCCGCGCGATGGTGCGTATGGTGAGAGGTCGGTTGGTCTCCAGCAGCTGGGGACGCTCCTGGTGCCAGTACCCGATCGAGCCCAGACTGTACAAACACCTGTGAGTGATGCCCTGAAATACAGACAGCCATTGTACAATGTGTAAAGAATCACTGCATACAGAAAGGGTCTTGACATGCCACTTAATCAGGTTTGCCGGTATAACGGTACTGACTACCACTTTGCTATCATACGAATGACGCACAAAGATTCCTCCATTAAATGTCTCGATCCATGGTCCGTCATTTTCATTCCGACCGTGTAGATCTCTTGTAGTCCGTCGGACGCGGTCTCTGCGATCCAATCAACGGCAAAGGATCTCACAACGATTTTGGTGGCACAATGGTATCTAAAACCCACAGCTCTCCGCATTCCTTCCATCGACTTCCACTTCAGCCCCAGCACAACCACCCGTTTGCCGTGACCGTCGCCGAGCTGGATAATGTCTGTCATCGCCAACTCCTCATGCCCTCCTAGTCCCAGCATGCCCTCCCCAGTGCCTACTACGCTGGTCCGGCTTCAGCAGAGGCGACACCACCCCGTCTATCTCATCTTTTGTTGACCCCATTCTAGCATACCCTGCTGCCACCAGACCCCTGCTGAGCCACGGCCTGGTCCCAGAACAGCACCCCCACACAGACCCGCACCTCGTGTTCCTGGCCGTCGCCCCCGCTGTAGCAGCGGCTCACCTGCTGCGCTACGGCGCGGTCCCAGGGCGCGATGTAGGCCACGGCATACCAGGGCCCGTCCAGCGACGGCTCACCTGCTGTGCCACGGCGCGGTCCCAGGGCGCGATGTAGGCCACGGCGCACCAGGGCTCGCTGCAGTGACGGCTCACCCGCTGTGCCACGGCGCGGTCCCAGGGCGCGATGTAGGCCACGGCGCACCAGGGCTCGCTGCAGTGACGGCTCACCCGCTGTGCCACGGCGCGGTCCCAGGGCGCGATGTAGGCCACGGCATACCAGGGCCCGTCCAGCGGCGGCTCACCTGCTGTGCCACGGCGCGGTCCCAGGGCGCGATGTAGGCCACGGCATACCAGGGCCCGTCCAGCGACGGCTCACCTGCTGTGCCACGGCGCGGTCCCAGGGCGCGATGTAGGCCACGGCGTACCAGGGCCCGTCCAGCGGCGCCGCTACTGTCAGCCGGGTCGGCTCGTGTGGCAGCGTGCCGGTCACCAGTGCCAGGCGAAGCAGCCCCGCGCGCCGCTCGTACAGCTCAGCCGGCTGCGACGCGTTCTCCGGATTGACCACGGGGTAGCTGCCATGCTGCAGGTACCTGGCCGTGCGGGGAGGCGACGTGTCGATGCTGCCGTGGTCGGGGGAGAGCTTGTGTGGAGCGGGGCGGGACTGGGCGACCGAGCACGGCATGGAGGCGAGCACAGGGCACACAACTACACCAGGCGACCATTCGACTGGGCGGGAACGGGTGACCGAGCACGGCACGGAAGCGAGCACAGGGCACACAACTACACCAGCAAAACATTTGACTATCACATAGCCGATCTGGGCGGGGCTGTAGGACTTTACAGGCCAGAAACAGTGTCACAGCTGGGTGCCACAAGCCACAGAAGTCAGATATGTCGGAAAACATTAGAACATTGTCACAAACTATCAGCCCAGGTATTTGCTGGACTAAGCCAATATGTTACTTCAGGGTAATGAAATGCATGCAGCTGAGTTGAGGCACTAAGCTACTTTAAGCCTCACACAATATATACAGCCAAAGCAATCAAACACAGTCCACAATGCAGGACCTCTCCCAGAACCACACTCACACATGGATGTCCCGGCAATGGCATCCAGGGTCGTCCATGACTGCCGAGAACTCCCAGAGTGCCTGGGATGTGGCCGGCGGTACATGGTAGTGAAAGAGCGCCACATCCGCGTAGCTGTGGTATGGGCGCAGCGCACCTTGCTGGTACACATCAGGCAGCTGGCCAGAGGCATGACCCAGCAGCACTGTGGTGGTAACAGGTCAGTAAGGTCAGAAGGAGGGCTGGAGTGGAGATAGGCTAGGGACAGCACAGGGAAGTGGGAGAGCAATGAGTTGTGGGTGGCATCAGTGTGAACATGGGTGTGGCCAATGCAGAGTCAGAAAAGGCTAAGGGCAAGTCAGTACATAATGTGCATCAATAAGTGGCATTACAGGTCATCAAGGATAAAGCTTGCCACATATGGCTTAAGTAGAAATAAAAAGCTAGCCTAACCCACTATCTTTGAATAAAAAGCTCATCCCTGGATAAAACTTCACTATAAACTGAGATAAAAAACTTTTCTGCCTCCTCCTTGCTTGTTGTAACATTCTCTCCACATGGGTAATGACAAATAGGCTACAATGGCAATACATGTTAGCATTACCAGCTTAACTGGGCAGATGCTTAACTAAACTGATGCTGACAGCAGCAAAAATAGTGCATCATGGACTATGTCCTTCACAGACCCACCTGAAAGGAGCAGTATCATAATTTCTGAAAACAAGTTAAGGTGCAGTTTGTCTTGCTGAGAGGTATGTTAAACTGCATGTTTATCTGCAGCCCATTATCTTCCCCACATTTTCATAGCTTTATGGTATGGCTGAAGATGTGAAAACTGCATGCAACTGTAAAAACATTTCAAAGTGCACTTAACATAGGCAGCAGTTTTATACCTGAGATTCTACACACAAGACCATTCATAAATTCCGGCACTTCTGATATCTATGGCAGTCTGCCTACAAGACCATTAATTCATTCCAGCAAGCATTAAAGCAGTGTGCGCATGATTAAATGTCTGCTTATGGTTAAAACATAGTCAATATCTTAAAGCAGTATTATATTACATGGGGAGGGTAGAGAAGCATGAAAAATATGTTGCACAACAATGCAGGGATGATACTAAAGTTCCTATCCAATGGCAGTAACACACATGTCAGAATGTTTATGAAACTTTGAGGTCTACTGCTTAGGATGCACCATTCTATCAACAAAACAAAATTCAAACACATCCTACATGAATGACACTTCTGACACACTGAAGCCCGCTGATGCAGAAGTGGTGCCCCGCATAAATTTAATATGAAGCAGTCTGCAATCCTCGGCAAAGACATCAGCACCATGCTTGTTGAGCACTAAGTTCCTCCTTTGAGACAGAAGACAACAGTGGGTCACTTTCGTTATTTAGCCTCCCCCTCTCAACGCATTTTGTGAACCGACGTCCTTGATCTGTAGAATAGTGGGATCACACAAGCATGACAACTTATACCTAATGTTGGACCATACGAATACCAACCGCCGCCCCACCATCCTCGGACCTGTCCCACGCCCTCGCGACTACAAACCAGAGCTCAAACGCGGAAGGTCAAGATGACATATATTTACATCTTGCTATAGCACATCTGCTGCGTTCAAATGATGCGCACACTCCACTTTCTGCGCTTGCGATCGATCTGACAGCCAATAGCAAACTAGGGTTTCTTTTCTGCCTTCTCTGATTGGTCACGAGCTGCTATATTGTGCGTATAACTCGTTGGCAGATGTTATCAACAAAGGTGTATATCCACCTGCACCGTTGAGGAACCCAAGATTTGAGCGAATCATCAAGCGGCTAACATTTTTGACAAATTCTGTCTTTTGATTTGCCAAATCTTGCGTACAGAGGCGGACATTTACGTGAACAGAACTCGTCGAGATGCGTCAGGATAGAAACAGACACGTTTTCATTTATAACGCTCGCCGTGCAACTATCTATGTTTATGCTTGCGATTGGGCCGGGGCTGCGCGTAGCGACGAGCCGGGTGTCGTGTTGTAGTCTGTTGTTAGCTTGAGTAATAGTAACGTATCACATATATGAGTGATGAGGTTACGATAAATATCCAAGGGCTAGTGATTGTAGGAGCTTAGGCACACACCTTTCTTACAAGTAGTGAGTCAGATAGCCGCTCGGCAAGGTGGTTTAATTGTCCCTGGGCGGATTGTGCCTGATATTATGGGTAAGTTTCGTGAATTCTTGGCTTGAGTATTATGAAACAAGGTGCTTGTTAGAGTTGTGTGGATGGAATGGAGAACTGAATTAATTCAGCAGACTCAGACCCCAGGCTAGAGAATGATAGGCACTTCCCCGACACCTGGTCTGCACGCCGTGGCTGGTTTTAATAAGATCTTGTTAGATAAAGCACAATTTCCAACTGTGGACAGGGTGCTAAAAAAAATGGGTTAGAAGTTGTTGAGTTAAATCATGGGGATGCATCATGACATGTTCTGTGACTGGGGAGATCACAGAAAATGATAATCTGATGGTAAATTGTATCAGAAGGGGTATGTAAGTTGAATAAAATATACCCCAAGTGAATTTTGTGTTTTTTATGTCATCTAATCTTTGCTTTCATGCTGAATTTGGATGTGGAAAACAGTAGTTCATATTGATATATTTTTTTGCCCAGAGAAAGTGCTTCAAGTTTGTGTGAGTTTCATTTGAATGTTTAACTAATGGAAATTAGCATGGAAAGATGACCCAGATGCTTGGAGTTTTAACCTTTGGATATCAGAAACAGCTTGTTAGTACATTTGCTGTGGTTTTTGGCTGGTCTGTGAAACTGAAGTGTTCCATTTTCCTCTTACACTCACTGAAAGTTTAGTGAAAGCAGATTCTCCATGATAGGAAAATTGTTCTGGTCATCCCCAAAAATGCTTTAATGCTAAGATAGGGTAGTTGTCCATGAGAAGGGTCACACCTTTATTTTTAATACTTATCATTTCAGGTGGTCTCTTGAGCTACTTCCAGGGCCTATTTGGCAGCAGGGAAATGAGAATACTCATCCTGGGCCTAGATGGAGCTGGAAAAACTACTATTTTATACAGGTAAGAGATGCACTGTGAACAAATTTACTCTTGATTAAATATGGGCCAGGTGCCGAATCTGCTTTTTAATCTATTTAGTAAAGCATTCCAATGTTCATTACATTGTGGAGGCTGTTGGTAAGGCATGATGTGCAACATCATTATGTAGTCTTTATTATATTATTCTGCTCTTTAAGTAGCATGCAGTGTGTAAATGCTGCAGTGTTTCAGTATATATGAGCTATGTACTTGTTCAGTAGCAGTGTTACTGTTTTAACAGCATCCCACACAAGCATTTGCCAGTCAGTGACAGATTTTTCTGGGCCGCAGGCTTCAAGTGGGTGAGGTGGTCACCACGATTCCCACCATTGGCTTCAATGTGGAACAGGTGACCTACAACAACCTGAAGTTTCAAGTGTGGGATCTGGGAGGCCAAACCAGTATCAGGTAATGTTGAAATAAATTGGAGTAGTTTCCAGGTGTGATAGCTGTTCAAGTAATAGGCCTGATTCATTCAGAATACCTGTCCCACTTCTGACCCATGGTGGCATGTAATTTAATGATGCATTTAATCCAAGAGTAACTGTTTTTATTGCATGGTGAATCATTAGGTGTATGTCTAATGAGCCTGATACACTACAATCAATGTTTCAGAGGTACAGGTATTGGTAGGTATTGTATTGTAGCTGTGGAGTGTACTCAAGTGTTTGGGTGATGATTATCTATGATAGAGTGGCATATATAATCACACTGGTTCAGAAGCAGGGTTTGTGAAGGAGTATAAAGCATAAGTCTCAAGTGAACCTGGTTATTCACAGGAATATGTTTTGAAATGCACTTCTCTATGCACTACTATGCACTGCTGCATCTATCCTCACATTTCTTTTGCAAATCAAGTGCCATCACTACAACTCGGGCGAAATGCTGTGGCGCGGCTGGCCCCAGTGTGTCACTGGGAGATAGCTGTAACTGTGCTCTCATGCTCCAGGCCGTACTGGCGCTGCTACTACTCCAACACGGACGCCATCATCTATGTGGTGGACTCTGCTGACCGCGACCGCATGGGCATCTCCAAACAGGAGCTGGTCTCCATGCTGGAGGTGCGTGGCAGGCACGAGCGGGCCGCCCTCTGCTTTGCACCGCGTGTCTGGCAGGAGAGCCATCTGACGCCCTGTGGGCTTCTGGGCCTGCTCTGATGCATGACCTGCTGCAATGGCCTGCAGCAGGCTGCCCCCAGCCTTCAACCGGCACTCTCCGCTGGTTGGGCTCTCTTGGTGGACTTTGCACGCCCTAGATTTTTGCGGTGGACTTTTCCCGGAAATTTCCTAGCATGCTGTGATTTTGGTCATCTTGGTAGACTGTTTGCTCTGAGGATTGTTGCAGTAAACTGTTTTTTGCAGCGACATGGCTGGTGCAGTCTGTCCGCTCGTGAAACTCCTGACAGGCTTTCTACCACTCCTCTCACATGTGCCCCCGTGCTGACGCCGACCTGCTACTGTCTGCAGGAGGAGGAGCTGAGGGGCGCCATATTGGCAGTCCTAGCCAATAAGCAGGATATGGAGGGCGCCATGTCCGTGGCCGAGGTCTACTCGGCACTCGGCCTGGAGGCGCTAAAGACGCGAACCTTCCAGATTTTCAAGACGTCAGCGATCAAAGGAGAGGGCCTTGACCAGGCCATGGACTGGCTAGCCAATGCGCTGCAGGCCAAGAAGTGACGTGTTTATCAGTGTTTGGCTGTTTGGATCCGGCGACCTTGAATGCTGCACGCCGATTGGCCAGCTGTGGTGAGAGGCGGAGTGCAGCGCCGGATCTCCGACGGGACCAGGCGTCGCCGGGACGCAGCGAAGGGTGATGGTGGTCATGCTTGTCAACTTGCGACGTTATTGGCAGGCGAATTTGGAGTTGATTCTGTTGTTTGTCAGTCCATCATTGTTTTGTTTATTTCCGTAGTGGATCGGTATTGCGATGGAAGCTGTGCACGTTTGTAACATATGCTTAATGTAGCTACAATCTAAATTGGGTGGTCGATATCTTTACTGAGTGTCGCGTCTATTTGACTGGAATAGTCGTTTTGATCGAAGCGCAACGACCGCGCTGTGCTGGAAATAAGCGTGTTTTATCTTGGTAATTTTCGTTGAGTATTGATGTGTGAACGCTGCAGAGGCATGGAATAAAGATATATCCATTTACCCCGTAATGAGTCAATTCCAAGTTTTGGCGCGGCAGTCGCGTGTATTTTCTGTCGCATCATTCGGCAGCTAGCCGTGTCTACGTACCAAATAAACCACTATTCTGCCAAGCCTGCTCCTGGGTCTCAACTATCTGGTTCTCGGCTCTCCAGGCCGGCTCGCCCACGACCCTCACCCCCTTGGGGCGGAGTAACTGACACGGCTTCCTCGACATGATTTGCGCTGTAGTCCGCCCGGCGGTGCCTCGGGCACCTACTACAGATGGTGACCGCTGTGTGGCGCACATGCGTCGACAACTACGCTGGACATCAGGTCTGGCGTTCGGGGCGGAGAGACCTCTGTTGCGGCCAATCATGAGCGCATTTTGGTGATTTTCATGCGGCGCGTGGACACCCGTATGGGGGGCGCCGTGTGGTCGCCCGTTTGGAGGGCGCCGCGTGGCCACCCGTCGAGAGGGCGCTGCATGGTTACCCTTCTAAAGGGCATCGCAGAGCCAGCCGTCTGGAGGGCGCCGTGTGGTCACCCGTCTGGAGGGCGCCGCGTGGTCACCCGTCGAGAGGGCGCCGCGTGGTCACCCGTCGAGAGGGCGCTGCATGGTTACCCTTCTAAAGGGCATTGCAGAGCCACCCGTCTGGAGGGCGCCGTGTGGTCACCCGTCTGGAGGGCGCCGTGTGGTCACCCACCTGGAGGGCGCTGTGTGGTCACCCGTCTGGAGGGCGCCGTGTGGTCACCCGTCTGGAGGGCGCCGTGTGGTCACCCGTCTGTAGGGCGCCGTGTGGTCGCTCGTCTGGAGGGTGCCGTGTGGTCACCCATCTGGAGGACGCCGTGTGGTCACCCGTCTAGAGGGCGCCGTGTGGTCACCCATCGAGAGGGCGCTGCATGGTTACCCTTCTAAAAGGCATCGCAGAGTCACCCATCTGGAGTGCGCCGTATGGTCACCAGTCTGGAGGGTGCCGTGTGGTCACCCGCCCGAAGGGCGCGTGTGGTCACCCGTCTAGAGAACGCCGCATGGTCACCCACTTGGGAGAGCGCTGGCCACCCGTCTAGAGGGCACCACATAGTCATTTGTCTAGAGGGCGCCATATGGCCACCCTTTTAAAGGGCATCGCAGAGTCACCCGTCTGGAGGGCGCCGCATGGCCACCCGTCTGGAGGGCGCGGCTTGGTCACGCGTCTGAAGAGCGTCACGTGGTCACCCGTTTGGAAGGCGCCACAGAGTCACCAGTGGAGCTCGCTAGGAGAGCGTTATACAGCTACGAGCGGTGCTCACTTGGGGGATATCATTCGGCTATGATCGCGCGGCCGCTAGTGGAACTCGCAATGAGGACGCCCACTACTGAAGACGGCATGGCCGAGGATGGCGAATGCTGGGAGAGCTGCCGCTGCTCATTTCCGGATTGTCTTTAGATTTGAACCCTGACTGCGCTCAGATGACCTTAAGACGTCCCTAACAAAACGTGGTCGCCGTCGGATAAAATTAAGAGGCCCAATGCTCGCAAAGCTCGTGATCTATACCCTCAGATGTGGCGTGGGCTGTCTGATATATTGCGGCATTTATACCGCAGTGCGTGTTTGCATCTTACTTGGGTGGGCGCATCACCAGATCAGGACCAGCCCAAAGGACAATCAGGTCAGGACTGAGACCCCACCAAAACTTACACAGGACGACGTCACCAAAACAAGCGCAGACGCCAGCCCCACCAAGGCCATGAGCGCAGCGGCCAGCTAACTCCACAGAGCCGGCGCGGTGACCGGTCCCAGTAGAGCCAGCGTGGCGGACAGCGTCATCCGTAGCACCGCAGCGGTAGATTCCAACAGCCAGCGCAGCCCCCAGCCTCACCAGAACCAGCGGAACAGCCGACCCTGCCTGACTGAGCCTTCGTGGCGATGTAGCCTGGAGCCAGGGCGGCGGCCATCCCCACCAGAGCCAGAGCGACAGCTGACCCCAGCAGGGCTGGTGCAGCGAAAGACCCATAAGTGCTGACGTAATGGCCGGTCCCACCAGAGCCAGAGCGACAGCTGACCTCAGCAGGGCTGGTGCAGCGAAAGACCCATAAGTGCTGACGCAACGGCCGATCCCACCATTCACCAGATTTTTTTAAAAAATTGCACCGCTCAAAAATGGAAATGAATCGTTTGTGCAAGCAAGCAATCAAATACAAATAATACCGCCGGGTTTGTCTCACCAAATCGACAATATTGAACAGACAAATGGAGGTGCCCATGTTTGAAACTTTTGGTGCCTTGAGCAGCGTTTGACTTCGTTTTGATGTTTATCATAATTAATTATTCAATTTACGTCGAATGAAACCACATGAGACAGCCAAACGTCGGCTTTTCAAAACTCTGGAATCGAGTTGTCTCAGACGGCCATCCTAAACTCGATAGCAGACTTCCTTCAACGGGACACCACACGGTCGCTGGTGGCGGCTTCTTGGAGGTCTTCTTGGCATCGTGAACTGACCGCGATGACAAACTCAGAGTAGTAATAAGTGGCGCTTATATTAGCACCGCGTGAGCGAGGATGATGATTCCTGTAACGCTCGATGCCGCGTAATGCGGCCTTTTAAAAGATGTGTGTGGCGACATCACTGTGAAAGAAATGCGGGTTGGAACACAATGCGCTCATGACCCTGTCAATAAAAACACTCCACGTATACACATATTAAGGTTCACAAGCCAAGGGCACAGGCTCAGGTTTTCACATTAATCTCTTAAGTTGTTTGCTATGTTAGATTCGTTGGCATGGTTTGTATGCTGTTTTGTTAGTTTTGGTCATGTTAGAGCATATCATAACCAGATCTTTCTCATTTATGAAAAGTAGCCTTCCCATGAAGAAACATTACCTTTTAAGGTGTTATGTGTATGATGTGCTATAATGATAGACGTTTGATATGCCAGGAAGTGCTGGCTAAGCGAGGATACCAGCCAATCATTCCAGCTAACCTTGCTAGCTAGTTAGCAATTAAGCTGTTTCGTGTTTGTTTAACCAGCACCTCCTGGCAAACTGAAAGTCCGTCATTTTCAGCATAGGTACTCATAATGATGGACAGTCAGGAGATGAACACCTTTCTTGCTTGCATGAAGACATGGCCGAGCTATTGTAGGCTCATGGCAACATTCACTATCGCGGTAGCAGACACTTGTAACCAACGGGCAACGTAAAATGTAACGAGTTATGATTGGTGGAAGCCTGCCCATACAGCAATGAAATGCTTTCTGGCATAATCTTAGACGACATAGATGTCGTCTGAAGAATTTGTAGAGGGTGTGGGATATGCGTGCAGCGACTGAAAGTCTCTGCTGACGCTAACAACCACCCCATGCTAATCGCCTCGGTTTTTGATTGAACTGCAGCTAATCGACAGCCATCGTCAGATGCACCGGTCAGACGACGCGTCAAACATCACACACAAAGCGACCCGATCATCCATCTCTCCAGTTGGCTGGCCTCCACCCGTGTCTGGGGTAGCCCGACGCGTCATAGCTCGGCACTCCAGCTGGAGGCATGAGCTCAGGTCCTGTCACGCACAGCTCGTCGGCATCCGTCCACTTTTGTACTCCAGTCGCCGCATGAAAGCGCGTGGTTAGCCGGCGCCGCTCTGTCCCGTGTCACCCGCTTTCCGTGGCCGGCCCAGCCGACAGGTCACCGCACCACACGCAGCAGCTCCAGACCCTTGAATGTCTCGCTCTGCAGCGGCAGGCAGCGGCCGCGCTCCGGCTCCGGCCGCTGTCCGGCAGGACAACCGCAGCGCAGCTCACCCGGGCTGGTCGGCAGCAGCACCTGTCCGGCCGGACAGCCGGCGCGCGAGAACGGCTCGGCGCACTGTCCGGCCGCTGTCCGGCCGAGCTCCGGTGAGCACGCGCACTCGGTCCGGCCGCTGGTGGCGTTGTACGCGAAGAGCTCGCGCGCCAGGCACGGGCCGCGCGTCTGCTGCTCGTAGCAGCGGCCGTCCGCCGGCCAGAAGTTCTGCGTGAAGTGCTTGGTGCAGCCGCACGCGCCGCGGTAGCTGATGCCGCGGAACTCCTCGTACTGCACCAGCTGGCCGGCCGGGCAGGGGCCGCGCCGTCCGATCCGGTGACAGTACTGGTCGGCTGGAAAATACAGCTCGCCGCGGCGGCACGGGTTGGTCACACAGACGCCCTGGTGCGGCGCCTCCGGCCGCGGCGCCACGAACCGGTTCCGCTTGCACGGGCCCTGCGCGAAGGCCCGGTGGCACGCGCCCGTGTCGGGCAGCACGAGGCTGTCCGCCGGGCAGCGGCACTCGGTGCTGCCCGTGACGTTGTTGAAGGCGAACACGTTGCCGGGCGGGCAGGGGCCGCGCTCGCCCTGCGGGTAGCACTGGCCCGAGCGGCGGTCGTAGTTCTCGCGCAGGCCGGCGTGGCAGCCGCACTCGGCCAGGCGGCGCGTGTTGTTGTAGAAGAACACGAGCCCGTGTGGGCACGGACCGCGCGTCATCTGCTGGTAGCAGGAGTCGGTGTGCGGCCAGTAGGTGCGCGCCATGTACCGGCGGCTGCAGCCGCACACGGGCTCGTGCGTGGCGCGGCTGAAGGTGAGCAGCTCGCCCTTGCCGCAGGGGCCGCGGCTCAGGTAGCGGTGGCAGCGGCCCTCCGCCGGCCAGAACAGCTCACCCGGGGGGCAGCGGCCCTGCCGGCGACACGTGGGCGCACTCGTCGCCACATCCTCCACCAGGTAGTGGCGGCGCGGACAGGGTCCGCGTGCGTGCCGTCGGTAGCAGCGGCCGTTCGGCGCATGCAGCAGATGCCCGTCCGGGCAGACGCAGACCGGCTGGCCGGCGACGCGGTCCCACGTCAGCTCCTGGGTCGGCGAGCAGGGCCCCTGCTGGAAGATCGGGTAGCAGCGGCCGTCGGCAGGCCAGTGCACCAGCTGCCAGCTGCTCGCCGAGCACGGGTTCAGCGCGACGTTCACCCAGGGCGGCGCGATCACGGTGCCGGCGCTGGCGACGGATGGGGCGGCGGCGGCGGCAGCGGCCAGGCAGGCCAGCAGCAGGCGGGCCCGGCAGCGCGGTATCATGGTCGGACGACACACCCTCTGAAATGGCCCGGCTGGCGTTAGGGGCTGCGGCACACGGGGAGGGGGCGCGTGAGTCGTATCGTGCTGCAACCTGTGTGGCGATCGGGACGCATCGCAGTCTTTTCGGATTGGGACCATTTATGATTTGGATTCAAGTCACTTATTTTATCTTAAAAATGAATGGGACCCAACTCGCCAATTTTATCAAGAAACATTGGGTTCGGACTCGCTTTTAGGTTAAGACACCCAGCTCGGATTCGGGAAACATAAACAAGTATAAGAATGTATTCATGTAATGCGCATTCATGAGGCCTAGGGTACAGATGGTGTGGTGATTGAGCTGCGCGGCTGGGAAGCCAAAGGCACGGGCTTCATTTTCCCGCAGTGCCCGCCCTTCCCGCCAGGTTGAGAGGCAGGCGACACCATGTGGTCTCGGCAGCTGGGTGCGTCGCAAAGCATTAATAGCGAACGTTCATGAGGCATATATTGCGTACAGCGATGCATTTTTATGAGAGTGATCCGAAGGAGGCGCCCATTTTACATCACCATAATTATGCCTTCTACATAAATTGGAACATTGAAGAGATCGTCATGTGTCATGTCATTGGGGCTTTACGACGTTCTCAGCTGCTGAGACTATATGGCATCGCCTGCCTCTCACCCACGAGCTCGGCTGGGGGGAATCAAATTGACCCCCAAAGGTTTTCCAGAATGATTTTCGAACGGCACGGCATGGCCGCGCCCAATGTTGCACAGCTGTAGAAAATTGGATAGTGGATCGTTTGACAACACAAATTTAGATGCACCTTGTAAGGTCGTTGACCTGTGGCAGGTCGAAGTCAGGCGATGGTTTCAGCGAAGGCAATTTCTAGGGAATCGTCCAATCTGATACAATAACGGGGTGTTTGACGAAGCCATACATCTCTGAGATGCTATCTTAGGCACCACACATATTGAATGAGTAAATTAAGTTGACCTGAGGTCAGACATAAAGGTCAGACTAAGGTCACAGCCAGCCCGATTTATTACTCTAGGGCTTGCTGTATGCGATAGTTTGTGTTGCTCATTTCGAATTTATTGACGGCAGGAACCGCATTATACATCGTCCACTGACTTCTTAGAGGTCAGAAAAAGCCATTGACCTAAGATGTCCTGGGTCGACGATTTAGGAACATGCTGCCTGGCGTAATCTTTGCTGGTTATTCAAATGCAAAACTCAGAGCAGTCTTGTATGATTTTGGCCACCATGACCTTGAAAATGTCAAACAAGGTCACTGCCCCAAATGGGTTTGTGACCTTTTGCTAGAAACAGTTTCCTAGGTTCTGGGGCACTTAAGAGACCAACCTGGAATTTGCCCTTGTTTGGCCTTGTTTGACCTGAAGGTCATGACCTAGGAAGCTCAAATTTTGGCCTAAGTGAGTTCACGTACAGGTCAACACACCCCAAAAACTTGGTGTCTCTAGTCTTCTTAGTTCCTGAGATTTCAAGGGGGGTCAAATTGACCCCCACCCGAGCGAAGGGTATCTTAGCCGGGGGCGCGTGTTAATGCAAATGCATCAACCACTACACTATCGGCACCCCCATTGAGGAGATTGTGAGGGGCGAGGGACATGAGCAGGTGATTGGTTATAGAGTGTTTCACACCACGATTGATAGACGGGTGCTGCCAACTCAACCATTAAACGTGCAACTTTACATGCTACCGCCACAGATATGCATACAGTTTGATTTCGGAGTTATCTTGCGCTCCGATCAGGATTCTGAAGCTTTTGGACCTCTGCGCGCAGCCGTCCTTCGTTGAAGAAGGCGTATGAACGTGACGGAATGCCAGAAATGCGCAAAGGAAAGCGATGACTGCTCAGCTATTCCACATTTTTCGATTAGATAACAGCATTATGCAAGTAACAAAATGTCCGAGGTGAAATTACAAAAGCAAGGTGGATTATCGACACCTTTATTGGATTGCTACGCTTTTCGATCAAAAGAACTCCATTCCCCAACTCGATAATACTTTCGATACATTACAAACCTCGGTTTCCGGAATTGCCGCATTAGAAAACTATCAAAAGAACAGCACAAGCTCGCTAGACACTCGCAAAGTGCCGTGCGATCACGGTCGGGCGAAACGGCTCTGTACGGGGCTCCCGGCCGGCCGGCCCTCTCCGGCACCCAGCCCCCGGCCGGCCGGGCCGGCCAGCGCCAATACCACTAACCTCCCGCGCTGGTCCAGAAAGGTAATTCAGGCGGCTAGAATCATTGTTTAAGAGATACAGTTATCATGGTTACCAGCGTACTCCCCCACACCCAATGGCATCGGTCGTCTCAGCTGTGCATCACTTAGCAGCGTGAGCTTTGTCCGCGTAGACGGACTTACGTGCACAGGGATGATGAAGCGTTCACAGCTCTCAAAAGGAAGGATTTGTGTCAAGCCTTTTAACCCGGAGCATAAAACGACAAATAAAGGGCTGTGCCCTGTCCCAGTAAGAGGCTGCGCCCTGTCCTAATAACGGGCTGTAGCCTGTTTCAATAAAAGGCTGTACCCTGTCTCAATCAAGGGTTGTGTTCTGTCCCAATAAGAGGCCGCACCCTGTCTTAATAAAGGGCTGTACCTTGTCCCAATAAGAGGCTGCGCCCTGTCTTAATAAAAGGCTGTACCCTGTCCTAATAAAGGGCTGTACCCTGCCCCAGTAAAGGGCTGTAACCTGTCTCAATAAAGGGCTGCACGCTATCCCAAAACGACCAATTAAAGGCCGCACACTGTCGCAATAAAGGGTTGCACCCTGTCCCAACACCACCAATGAAGGTTTGTATCCTGTGCGCTCAGTGTTGGCCAGGGTTCGCTTCTAAAGCTTACATAAGTTAGAGACAAGCTATGCACAGAATACAGAAACGAGGTCCCCGTGAAGCCTTCTGAGGCCACAGATTAGCCTCATTCGGACTCGGCGACCAAACCGGATCCGTCTAGGTCGGGCTCATCGAGCCTCATCCCACAGTCGGGCACGTCAAACACGTAGGATCCGTTTCAGCTGGGGCCCAGACTTAGCCCCATTCAGCGGATTTCTAAACAGCCCGGAGACTGCTTAGGAACTATTAGCAAAACTGGACCTTCATCACCGTCCACACGGCTGCTAAGCTCGCCCGAAGACACCCAGAGCAGTCTGATCGCCACGGAGGGTCTGAATGCCACTCTGACAGCCATAGGAGGGTCTGAATGCCACTCTGACTGCCATAGGAGGGTCTGAATGCCACTCTGACTGCCATAGGAGGGTCTGAATGCCACTCTGACTGCCATAGGAGGGTCTGAATGCCACGCTGACTGCCCTAGGGGAAGCGCCAGTCAGCACAGCTGAGCTGACATCTGGCTTGCGCCTACCTGCCATGAGAGATTTTTTACGCACCCATTGTACCCGATACTCGAGATTTGCTGAAGATTATACGCTGTCATGAAATGTTCTTGCTGTGTTGTTTGTCGTCGTTTGAAAGTTAATATGGGTCTCGTGAATGGCAAGGGCTTCATCAGTTTCTGACCGAAATATAGGCACCAACACCGCCAGAAATGCTGTCAATTGAATCTAATATGTGTGCAAATCGTACATGTATTATATGCTTGGTAAGAAGCACACGCTTGCTTAAAGCGTCTTCCTGAGAACGTGTTGTTTTCTATGTAATCTCAAACGAGATCAGCGGATACAAAAGGGAAGATAAAAGATGGAGTCGGCGAAAATGAAAAATAGGAATCGATCTTCAGTGTTATGCGTGATTGATCTCGGGGAAGACAACACAGACATATAGAGACATGGGCATGAGATGTATGAAAAAAACGATGACGAATCTTTTGGAGCTATTCAGCCGTGCGTCCGCGTGATACGAAACTGAACTGCAGAGCCTATTTGCAAACCTACCGCCATGTTTGGCGCCTCTACACGCATAGCCACAGAAGTGCAGAAATTAGGTTGAATGCCGAATTTAGTCGAAAAATAAATAGCCAAATGCAGAGCTAGGCCAAAAATCAAGTCGATAATTAGCGCAAATCCTCCCTTTTGAAAGATATGAACGCTTTAAAACATCTGCGCACGTAGGCCCGTCCAACCAGACGAATCTCACGCCACTAAGTGAGCCACAGTTGAGACAACCGATGCCATTGCGGGTGAGAGAGGAGGCTGCTACACGCTACACTATCATCTCTCCTAAGTTTGGCTCTAGCGGTCTGCAGTCGCCTTTCTGGACCAGCTCGGGAGGGGGCCGACAACTGCTGATGGCGTCGGGTCGCACTGGCCAACAGGGGTTGGGTGGCGCACGGGCCAGCCACCGGGAGTGCCGTACCACGCCGGTCCCTCCGGCGATAGCATCCGCACTGTGCGAGTGTGTAGTGAGTCACCACCATTCACCCGATGATTCCTGATGAAGAATTAAAGGAGGACTATGAAAAGAATGTTTCGAACGAATGGAACATGTCATTAGCCCGGGAAATATAGTTTGCAATTAGAACAGCATAGCAATACAAAAATTATGTCAATAATTCAGCTTGTTTTTATATAACTAATTATCCCATTGCATCACCACAAACGCGGTTTTCAGATACAAGCGAGCTATGGCTGCGGCGTCACCATCGCTCCACTTCGTGCACTCGTATCATTCTGTAACTTTCTGACGTCGTCAACGGAAAACAGCTGGGCGTAGAGGTTTTAAAGGTTCAGAATCATGATCGGAGTACTAGGCAATCTTAAAGACTAAGCCTTGTTCTGATCTGAGATGATGGTATGGACTCAGCTGGTTGAGTCGGCGTGTAACGGCCCGATAAGCTCATGCAGTGGCGGCAGCGATGAAGGAATGCAGGCTTTGACAGAACCTTGACGATCGTTTGTGGATGACATTCGCTCATAGGGTGTCAGCGGTGCGGAAAGAAGCATAGCAACGCTAGCAGCATGACCACGAAGGCATGTTTTACCTGATCACGCGTATGTTTGTTGCCTACTGTGTTCACTTCCAAAGCATCTAAACGGTAGGTACGTGTCGG